GTCCTGCCGGACGCGGTGAAGCTTGGACAGTTCGTTTCTGGAAGAAACAAGCGTGTTGCCAAGTAGCTTTCAATGGTGATTCGTCTCAAAAGCCACCTGCCGCTTCAGGTGGCTCGGATGTATTTTACTGTAAAGAGTCCAGTACTGTAGGCCTGCAGAGACTGCCCTTACAACATCTTTGCTATAGGTTCCATAAAGGAGACTGCCCCCGCCTGAGTGCAGGAAGAAGCACAGAGGTGAATGCCATGAGCCGTTTCTTCCTAGGGCTGAATATTCCTATCCAGCACTCAGTAAGCAGCCAGGAGAAGCTGCCGATTGCTATTTTTCAACACAACCTGCTCATGTATTATTACTTTCTGTTGCCACTAGATGGTTAATACAAAAGAATAAAAATTACACAACCCTTCCCCCAACATTTTAAACGTTCTCTCCAAATGAAATGTTCTGACAATTTGGAAGTAGTGGGAGTGACGATTCCTCCTGGCCCCTGGACTCCTTCAATTTTACATATCATTCCTCTTCTTTATACACTTGAGCTGAGACACTTGAATCCACATTTTCCCTGTTGTCATTAATATTACAGAACTACCAGTCTCATGAAGGACTACACTTTGTGCATCTACTCTGTGCTGTCTGGTTATTGGTTTAAAAAAATAACAATCCTTTTTTTAAGAATGCTTTGTATCTTGCATCATACAGAAGTTACTGGGAAAAACAAGTTTAGAAGGGTGGACAAATCCCAGTGTCAGGAGGGTTGGCAGAGATGCATCTTTAGACTTTAATTTAGTGACCCACAGCCTGGTGCAGAAATTGCCCAGTCTAACAAGCTGTGCATTTTTACATACTCTTACAGCAATCAGCGAATCAGCCATATGTAGTAGCAGGCACTTAGATGTCTAGTTTTACTGCGGTATTCTGTTTCACTTCTTGTTAACTATTTTAGGTTCTAGTTGTACGGACTTAAAACAATTTTTTTTTCTATTTAATTTCCAGAAAACAAGAGGTGAAGCCAGTAGTATGAGGCTTACTGTCCTTCTTGTACAGCCCAGGGTAATAGAACAGCTATAGTCAGGGCCAGGTTTATTTCTGCATCATGTATATAAAGTTGTTTCTTCCAGGAAGTGGGAGTGCTGGTCCAAATGCCATAGTAAGTATGTTCATACAGGCCTGTTAACAATCATGCATTCGGTGCTCAGTTGTCTAGACAAGTCTGCATGAACTAGATAGTTGTGCCATACATTGTCTGGTTCTGAAATGGAGCTGTAAGAACTACGTAATTCCTAATGCACAACAATCACTATGCAGACCTATACTTCTGAAAGCAGAATTCCTTAGTGATGAACATCTCCGACGTGCCACTGTGCTCACACTCCTCTTTTAGGTACTATCATAGAGAAACAACAGGAGTAATCAATTGCATTTTCAAGAAATGGTTAATTTTTGTATGTGTAAGATTTAACGTAGAACTTCTTTGAAGCGCACTAACTTTTTCAAGATTTCTCTAATAGGCAGACCCAAGAAAAACCTAATTATTGTGATGCGATACCTCCCTGCACTCTTCACATACAGGGACACTTTATCTGCCTTTTCAGTGTCTTCCCTTCCTTCCCCCCCACCCTTTAAACTTTGCAGCATTACTGTCTAGTACATCACATTTTCATGAGAAATTTTATTTTTTAGATGCAAAGGTGCTTGTGGCTGCATATGAAGATGTGAAAGATAAGATGCATCAAATACTAAAAATTCTAAAAATTTTTACTGATAATGTAATAGTAACAGCAATGGAAAGTATTTGCTTCAAGCAGACAGTAATACTGATCATTGTTGCAGTTACTAACTCCCATCATCCACAAAAACTGCCCATGCAGATTTTCATTGCAGTTTAGCTTCGGTGTTTGATGTGTGAAAACTGATAGCTCATCAGAATTTCAAAGGGATCTGTCTACCTTTTCAAGAAACTGGTGCAGCAGGGCTGTATTGCTGTCCTCAGTGGGGAATAAAAAGCCTGAGTGATTTGTCCACTGTTGCACAGAATACTTGTGATGCACCAGGATTTTGCATCCAGGTCTCCAAAGTGAATAGTCTAGGAGCTTCATATAACAAGGTCTCATTACAAAAATCCCATAGACTTTAATGCAGTAGTTATTGCATATTTGTGAAAGTCAAACACGCCCCTGAACTGCTGTAATGGCTTCAGTTTTTCTGTAAAACAGTGATGTGGTTGAAATCCAGTTTTGACTTTGAGAGCTGTGAGGGGATGTTCATTTAAAACCCAGCTGTGTACATCTCATTTTTACATATTTTTTGCAAGCTTTGCAAGGACTAAACTGGAACAAGGAATAGTTAAAACTGCACTGCGTCTTCAAGATTTGTATTCAAAATAGTCCCATATCTTACTTGCAACTTTTAACTGTAGTGCAATTTCTGCCTATTTTGGTGAGATGGTTTTAGTTAGATAATTATCCCAATGTCTATAGACTGTAATTGCTTTTTGTTTCTCAGGGAACAGTCTTGAGCTTCGTCATGGGAGCTGTGGTAGCTGACGATGGTCCATCTGGTGTTAAAGCCCCCGATGGAGGCTGGGGCTGGGCTGTCCTTTTTGGCTGCTTTATCATCACAGGATTCTCCTATGCCTTTCCTAAGGCAGTTAGCGTCTTCTTTAAAGAACTTATCCGGGAATTTGGCATTGGATATAGTGACACTGCATGGATTTCCTCCATTCTGTTGGCCATGCTTTATGGAACAGGTAGGTAGTTCTCTGTTTTTGAAACAGTATTGTGTCATACAATGATGTTTGTAAATCACACAGCCACTTACAGTATGAATCATGATTGCATATCATTACTTGTGTGCAAGTGAGGCATTCCAAAGAATTACTATTGATGGCATAAATCCAAAAGTTATTTAAGCACATCCAGCTTGCATATACAATTAAATCTCTTAACTCAGTAGCTACTAAAGACAATGAGAAATTGCATGGCACTCTGAAGACGAAAAAGACTAAGTATTAGAGGAAAGAACACTCTTCTGGATTGGCCTGATGGGATGGACAAAGTACAGAAAGAATCATAGAATCATTTAGGTTGGCAAAGACCTTTAAGATCATTGACTCCAGCTGTAAACCTAACACTGCCAAGTCCACCGAAGAAGAAATGCAAACTGACATAAAATAAATTGTAAAAATTGGTTTATCTTAGCAACTGTAACTGGCTCTTCTTGCCTAGGTCCACTCTGTAGTGTATGTGTCAATCGCTTTGGCTGTCGCCCTGTCATGCTGGTGGGTGGCCTTTTTGCCTCAGTGGGGATGGTGATAGCCTCCTTCTGCACAAGCATCGTTCAGATCTATCTAACCGCAGGTGTGATTACTGGTAAGTAGCGTGCATGGTTGAAAATGGGTTAGCTAACATCTTACCTTTAGGTTGAAGTCTTGTGTAAGTGATAAATATCCTAAATCATTAGGATCGTCCAAATGGACTTTTATAAAGATGGTAGATAAATGTGGAATTAAACTGTAATTTATTTTTTTATTGATGTTAATTTTTCTGGTATGTTTAACAGCCACTGCTATAATCAGTGAAGTGTAACTGTAGAGTACAAGAATATTATGGAGGTGGAATGCTTTTAAAAATGTTATCTTAGAATTCTTTTGTCCATTTGAAATAAAACTATTTTCTCCTAAGTCACGAATTAGAAAAACTTTAATTAGTTGTTTTTTTTTTTAATAGTTATATTGTAGGCCAGTATTAATTTTTATGTACTCTCTGTTACAGGTTTGGGTCTGGCACTAAACTTTCAGCCTTCACTCATCATGTTAAACCGTTACTTTGACAAACGCCGGCCCTTAGCCAATGGGCTATCTGCTGCTGGGAGTCCAGTGTTTCTTTGTGCTCTCTCACCATTAGGGCAGATACTACAACATGAGTATGGTTGGAGAGGAGGATTTCTTATACTGGGTGGGATGCTGCTCAACTGCTGTGTATGTGGAGCATTAATGAGACCTTTGGAGCCACCTAAAACGTCTGAAGCTACCCAAGAGCCAGCTGAGAAGAAAGTGAAGAAAAAACTTCTGGATTTCAGTGTGTTTAAAGATGGTGGTTTTGTAATCTACACGCTAGCAGCATCTATCATGGTGCTTGGCCTCTTTGTTCCCCCAGTTTTTGTTGTGAGTTATGCCAAGGATTTAGGGTATCAAGACACCAAAGCCGCTTTTCTTCTGACTATTCTGGGATTCATTGATATCTTTGCTCGACCTATTTGTGGAATGGTAGCTGGTCTTAAATGGGTTAGACCACGCTGTGTCTACCTCTTCAGTTTTGCTATGATTTTCAATGGCTTTACAGATCTCATGGGTTCTATGTCTGTTGATTATGGTGGCCTGGTGGTCTTTTGCATTTTCTTTGGCATTTCTTATGGAATGGTAGGTGCTCTTCAGTTTGAAGTTCTCATGGCTATTGTTGGTACTCAGAAGTTCTCCAGTGCTATTGGTTTGGTGCTCCTGGCAGAAGCTATGGCTGTTCTAATTGGTCCACCATCAGCGGGTAAGTATTCTGTTTAGTTCAGACTTCAAAATCATTTGCATTGCATCCATTTACACAAATTGTATGATAAGGGAGCAGAGAAAAAGACAACCTGAGTCACTCGAGGAGTGCATATGGTGCTAGTGTTGCATGTTTCAATGACTTTCTGCAGTTACAATCTGAAATAATCCAAGACAGGATGGGATGAATCTTTTCCTTCATGGATCTGTTTCAGGATTGGTTGAATTGCCATCTGGAGATGCTGCTTTTTCTCCACTGAAAGCCTCCACTGGACCTCTTAGTAGATGGCTAACATTGTAAGAGAAGAGTTTTACACCCAGAGTGAATAACAGTGAATAACTTTTGTGAAGTTCAGACCTCTTTGGAGTTGGGATTCAGAATATGAAACCCGCCAATTTTCTTTGGAAAGGACTAGGATAGATTCTCTATACCCATGGCAGATTTGGAGGAGAAAAGCAAATGTCAGAAGAAGGAGCAAAAGAAAATCTGACAAGGAGGACTGTAAAACTGGACTGTTTTAAGAAAAGTAGACTGCTTCTATTGCATGTCTCAGAACCCAAGAATAAGGGGATGTACAAAATATTCAAATTCATTCATTTGAATTCAAAATTGCAAATTACTTACTAATTAAAGAACATAAATGTTACAGACCCTGAGCTGAACACCCCCCCCCCAGAACCCCCCAGTTCACTGCCATAAAATGTTTACTGTTCATACCAGACACTAAAAAGCATCAAATGTCTTTATTGTGACAGAACCCCTCATGGAAAAAGCAGTACTATGCACAACTTCCTCTGATCTTCAGGTTTGGAGAGGCACTTCCTTCACATCCTCCCTCCTGTTCTTTCACCTCCACCAAGTCCTGTGAAAATTTAACTTGACTAAAGCATCAGAATCAATTACTCCAGACAGACTATTAAATAAGGTTTGCATTTTAAACAGACAGCGCACCGCCTGTGTAGGAAAGGAAATGAGATTGGGAGCGAGAGGAATCTGATGATACAGATCCCAGCCATGGATGCCCACATTTTGATCTGAAATACACGGCACTTATCTCTTGCATATGAAGAAGGCTAGGCTAGTTTTATTCCAGTTGAATTGCATGACTCTGTATGTGCATGGGAGTATGCGTTTTGGGATGTGACATTAAGTCAGTGAATGTTAAACTGAATTGAAATAACTGAGAAATATTTTGTTATAAACTTGTTAAAAAGCTATTTCAAAAAAATTGCTTAGATAGTCATGCTAATTCTAGACAGAAGTCATGTAGAAGTTTAAAACATGTCATTGTAAGATTGTAACTTTTGTTAAATACCTGGAATGTTGTCTTTTTCAGGAAAACTCTTGGATGCAACAGGGAGGTACATGTTTGTTTTTATTATTGCTGGAATTGAAGTTACCACCTCAGCACTTGTATTGGCCTTGGGAAATTTCTTCTGCATTAAGAAAAAAACAGAAGAACCACACACAAAAGAAGCAGCAGCAGAAAGAGAAGAATTAAACAAATCTGAAGACAAAACTCCTGAAGATGCCAAGGTGGACTCTATTGAAGTGGAGCAGTTTCTGAAAGATGAGCCTGAAAAAAATGGTGAAGTTGTAACTAACCCAGAAACGTGTGTGTGAGCCTGACATGAAACCAACAAAGCGTTTAGAAAAGAAAGCTTTTCAACACTATTTATTTTAGAAATAGACCTAGTTTAGGGCTGGGCCATCTGCTTTATTAACTGGAGGCCGGTCAGGTCATCAGGTCTCTCTGGAAGCTGATTAGCTAGACAACCTTTTATTGGAAAATTAGCTTTAAAAGTGAAAGGTGGAGCATTGTGGTTATACTTTTTATGTAAACTAAAAAGCTTTTATAAACACAAGTAGAGTCTTGCTATGCATCACCAGAAACTGCTTACTTGGAAGAGATATAGGAAGACTATATTTCAAGAAAAGTGGAATTTAATATATGTTTTCAGACAGTATTGGTGGAATCGCTGTGTTGTGCGGCTAAATAGAATTTCCCTTTCTGTGTTCTTTGTGAAGTGGAAAGAGTTTGAGATGGAGAAAAATCTCAGGAACTTAAAGGTCTCCATTAGGTTTTTGAATTTCTTATTTTTTTAGCTTTTTAGAGTAATTGGCCTAGCCCTAATTTAATTTTGATAATAACTGTTACTTTGATTTATGCAAATGTATTTCTGAGTTTTGTCTAAACCTGTAATCTTTGTACTTATCACCTGGAAATACTGTATGTGGAAAGGCAAATTACAGATACTGTCCTCAGCAGATCACACAAGTGGTATTCTAAGGGAGTACTAAAAGAAAATAAAATGAGCCGAATCGATCTTGACAAACCATAAGCAAAGTTAGCCTATGTTTACATACACGGTTTTCAGTAGTTTCCCTGCAGCACTGAAAAATATTACAAGTCACATGGAGAAGACAGATACTAGGTTT